TATTAAAGCGAGAGTTTTGATTTCTTTTTGGTACAAAAGTTAACGTTTGCCATTTTGTATATTCAGAGCAGTGAGGCACAGTGCTTAAAATTGTTTATTCGGATACCCCTGAAATAGTTAAAACCATGAATCAAATACTAACATTACGCTAGTGTCCACCTAGTATAATCAAGTACAATTTTATAAACAGATACTTCTTAAGTGGGTCAGTGGCACATAAAGAGTAATTATATACGCAACATTTTAAACAAGTACAAAGGGATTAATGTATATATATATATTTAAACGATGTTGAATATGAAGTGTTTTTTTTTAATTATATCTGACTATCAACTGAGAATATATATATATATTTGTCAATAGCTCACAAATCTATCCGTTTATTACATTATTTACCTTTACTAAATGTACTTTCAATATTGTGTTAACGAATATGTTGTCCATATAATAAGTTTAATAAGTTAGGATAAGATATTAAGTATAATGAGTTAATTGTGCAAGATAATTTAAAAATGTTAATTCAAAACGGGGAATAGGGATCGTCAAAAAGTACAGAAACAAGTTGAATCAAAATGCAAATATTATATTTTCAAGCCTACAACTAGGGACTTTAAAAAAATAGTAAACAAACTACGTTGGAAATAATGTAGACACTATTTCCAACCTAGTTTGTTTACTTTTTAGATTTGTCTCTGGCTGTTAGCTTGAAATATATTATTTGCATTTTGATTCAACTTATTTCTGTATTTTTTTGACGATTCCTATTCCTTGTTTTATATTAACGATTTTTTGTTATCTTGTTTTTATGTCTATCTGTTGAGAATAAATTTTAAGCTACATACGTGTATATGCATTCAGTTGAATGTTACATGATTTTTAATCGCTTACTGCTGCATTGGATTTTTTCGATCCAATCATTATTTACTGAACCAGGTGGTTTTGTGCCTGATGTTTCATGTAATTACGTGTTTAACAAGCGTCGAGTACAAAGTAAGCCGTTCACACCAACACCGAATGTATTTATAGTCACGTAAATAAACTTTTAAAATAGCTCATGGACATTCGAAGCGCTTCATATAGTACATCTAATAATGCTTGGAGACGGCTTGAATGGGTAATGAAGAAAACATTAATATAAGTTTAACATAACAGCAAATGTACAACGTTTCGACAAGGTTTTGTCATCATCAGGTACAACGTACAAAACCTTGCCGAAACGTTGTTCATTTGCTGTTATGTCAAAATTATATTAAAGTTTTTCTTCATTACCCATTCAAGCCCTCTCCAAGCATTAATAATCTCAAAGTGGGTTCCTCGTCATCGAATATAGTACATCTGTCTAGGTTTTGGTGCAAAATACTCAGCCAATTTTGCTGTAGGCTTGTAAAACAAAAATATTTATAAAAACAATAAAATATGCATTCGCAATTTCAGCGAAGTATGAAAATCATTAGAATAACTCACAAGAGTAGAGAAATCTACTATGGTAATCGTCTACTGTTAGAAAACTCACTGAAACAGTCGCAGAAAACCACGTAGAAACAAAGTACAACAGCGAATTCGAAGAACAATGAAGAGCAGCAAACTCGAGAAATGATGAATACTCAACTTGACAGTTTCCAATTAACGCGCATTAGTAAAACACCGGATTTTTTTCAATGTCCGAAAGTAATGGACTTAGAGAAATGTTTGAGGGCGAAAATATGTAGGCACTTGAATTAACTTTGAAACTACCCTATGACATACTCAATACTGCATTCATTACTATTGTCCATGTTTCAGGGCAAAATACGTAGGCACTTGAATTAATTTTAAAATTATCCTATGACATACTCAATACTGCATTCATTACTATTGTCCATGTTTCAGGGCGAAAATACGTAGGCACTTGAATTAACTTTAAAACTACCCTATGACATACTCAATACTGCATTCATTACTATTGTCCATGTTTGAGGGCGAATATATGTAGGCACTTGAATTAATTTTAAAACTACCCTATGACATACTCAATACTGCATTCATTACTACTGTCCATGTTTCAGGGCGAAAATACGTAGGCAATTGAATTAATTTTAAAACTACCCTATGACATACTCAATACTGCATTCATTACTATTGTCCATGTTTCAGTAAGATTTTCGTAAGCGTCTTTTCTGTAGCGGCTTGTAAAACTATATCCAATAATGATAAGGCGGGAGACAGTGTTATAAATACATACATTGTTTACTTTAACAAAACGAAGCTTTTCCAACTGGTATAAAATGGAGCATTTCCGACTAGTATAACGGTGGTTAAATGACTTCTACATTTCTGCGATGCTTGAATGACTTCTGGTAGCGAAGAAGAAGTTAGAAAATTTTAGAAGGTGGAAATCTGGACTTTCAAGAATTTACTTTAAAATAACCCTAAAACCTTCGTAGGAGTTTGTTTAGTAGATGTGCATAAATTTTGGCGAAGTATACCTAGCCGTTTTTCTTGTAGGCTTCAGTGCTTGAATGGCTTCGAAGAGAAACTTGGCTAGTAACGATAAAAAGACTGATAAAATCTCTCCTTCTCTTTCAAGAATCAACATAGGAACAGTCCTATGACCTGCGAAAGAGGTTTTTAGTAGGTTTTTCTAGTTTTTAAAAATATTCATAACCGTTTTTTCTGTAGGCTTGTGAACAAGAATAATAATAATATGAAGAACAAATCGATGAATTTTGAATTTTGTCTAACAATTAAAAAATCAGCTTTTTCACAATTTTCGATATTTTATCAGCCTTAGCCATTGAGATAGAAGGTCTTGAGTTGTTTCAAGAACAAGTCTGTTTTTTAAGATGGTTTTTGCCCGTATGTTCTATTAGGGGCGAACCCTATTATGAAGTTCATGCTACATTATATAGAGATAAAATGGATTGTTTTATTTATCCTTTCAAAAACATGACTAGATGGTTGCATGTTTTCCATATTTATTTCTCACGTGATTTATAGGCACGATCATCATGATTATAAAATTAAGAGGATATTTTAGAAACAATGAATGTTAGTTTTGTTCTAAGCTTTGTAACGTCAGATCAAGGTTGAAATATTTTATACTTTTGCACCTGTGTTGTCTTAAAAGCACAACGCCACGTTGTTTGTTATCTAGCCTACAATTCAACACATAATATCTAATATAAAACTATTTCATTTTACAACAGTTTCAGTCGTATTTTATTTTTGTGTTAAATCTCTACAACAAAACTCTTATTGTTCTTAAAAATTACATTTGAATTAATTAACAGTCCCAATTATTGAGAATGACCATAGCTGAGGCCCAAGATATATATGAATCAGGACAAAAAATTCTGACGAGTTTGAAACTCTTTTCCCGATTTACCGATTGACACAACTGAAAATGCCAATGCGTTTTCTACTTCAAAGTTTTCATGCAAATCTTTAAGCTCTTTACGAAGCATTTCAGTAACTGAAATTACAAAACTATCTGGGAAAATATTGTTCACACATTTTAACTAACAAACATGAGGATAAGCGAATGTTTCTATGGGATTTGTTTACATTTTTATATGTGTAATAAATAAATTAGTTAGAATAGACATTAATGGGCAACTAAAACTGATTTTCCTTTTGGTTATAGTTCTATTATTAAGCTGAAAATTAAGATGAGTCGTATGAAAGAAAAAGAAAGGTCAACCAGTATTAACACGGTTAGTGGACTCTAAAACTGAAACAAAAGCATGCATCAAAACTAAGCATGTACGCATTGAGATTAAAATGACATAGCTTAATCAAAACTTGTGTAGTATTTTATGACCTTTGATATAGTGGTGAGAAAGTTCAAAAGAACTTGCACGCATGGAAAATATACCGAGTCGATGCTATGTCCCTGGAAGTGAAAAGTCACTATTTGTGACATCACAAAGGTCAAGTCAAATTCATTTTATTCTTAGTAATTTCATTTTAATGGTACAAATATATTTGTTTGTATGTATGTATAATATAAGCAACACCCTAGCGTTTATTAATATTTAACATGTGTTTTTTAGAAGAAAAAAAAACTAGTGCCGTAGTAGAAATGCAACTGCCAAATTCATCATGTTTACTACGACGCAATTTATAGAATAACATCAAACTTGATTCTCCAAACTATTAAGTTAACCCGCATATCAACTTATAGTTGATTATTTTAATTATTACAGGCAAATAAATTGAAACCATTGCTCTAAAATCTGAAAACATGAATCTCACACACTCTTCGGTGACTTTTATATACATTTACTTTTTGGAATGAAAATTAATTAAAATATGATAACAGCGTAAAAAACATCATAGAAACAAATAGACAGTAAGATTTCTCTCTCCATGAGAACTTAAACGTTTAGTCACTCTCTCCATGAGAACTTAAACGTTTAGTCACTTAAAAGCGTTTGGGGGAATTTCTTTTCAGATTGTAATTACAGAAAACGATTGATTGTTTGAAGTTAAGCACAAAGCTACACAATGAGCTATCTGTGATCTGCCCAGCACGGGTATCGAAATCCGGTTTCTAGCGTTTCAAATCTGCAGACATATCTCTGTGCCACTAGGGGCTACATAAAACGAAAAACTACTTTAATGTTCTCGAATTTTAGGTCAAGTTTTCCTTGTACTTTTTATAATCATTTTATAGTAATACACAATACTTGTTTACTTCAAAACAATCAGTAGTTTATATGTTTTAGTTTATTAACTCTGTCCCTTACAACAATGTTAAGTTTTATAAATCATTAAAACACTTTTTCAGATTTTACAGAAATAAGTAAAAAACATACTATTATATAAACAAAATTATTGTAATACCACCACTATAACGCGATAAGGTTTCATCTTTCATTATATTAAGTTTTATACACTATTATTACCTAAAGTATTTACGCCATTAATATTCACAAGCTAATCTATCTTCTACGTGTTTGATTAAAATGAATAAGATGAAAAAATCCAAATATATTTGTTTATTTAGTGACGAGTTAAAACAAAATATAACATTCGTCACAAAGTTCAAAACTAATTTGTTCCCAATTATACGTAGAAATGTCTTTAAAAAGTTGAAATGATCCAATATTAATGACTAAAGTTAGTACAAGTATAACACTTACTCCAAAAAATTACTGATGTATTTCTTACTGCATGGAGACCAGTCCCATGGGTAGCTGTGGTCGTCTAACATCCTTGCCATGATATTTAAAGGTTGACCACGGTCTCTGTACTTCTTGCACTTCAAATCATCGTCGTGAGGAATCCCAAGTCTATAAAGTATGATTACTTAGAAATCTTATTGATTAGGGTTTTAAGTATATTTTATGCATATCAACCTTTATTTGGTTAGAACTATGAATACATATAAAAGGTATTGATGACGTTCTTTACTGGTATTATTTAGTATATTCACTGGGGAGCTGATTTGCATTAGACTTCTAAGTTCCTATGTCAGTTCCAAATAATTTTGGACTTCAAGGCCTAGAATGTTGTGAATATAAGAAACATTTTTCTCGTTCGTATAATACAGAAACTCCCCATTATTACTTAATGGATATATCAACGGACTTAATTAAATTGTTTGATTAGCTTTTTGTTGCAAAATGCTTGTACATATTCATAATTATGCTTTTAGTTTTAATGCAAACAGTATGGTGTCTGAAACAACAACGTATTTAATACATATATATATATTGGTTCTAAGGGGTAAAATGACTAGACTTTTTATACATTTGTTAAACCAACTGTATTTCATAAATGCTATGAACCACCCATCATTCTGTTTCTTTTCTTTTTTACGGTTTCAAACGTGTAAAATACAATACAAGTTGACCTTTACTACCGTGAATGCAATGTTATTTAACTTTCTGTACTTTGTACAAAACTTTTTATTACACTTAAGTTTTAGACATTACCATAACTTCGTACACTTAATTATTTACATCTAACTTTGTCTACTCTGGATGGTTTACTCGCTAAACTTCACTTAAAATACTATTTGTAACGATACTTGTTTGAGGTAGTGAAGTTAAGTGGCTTGGTAGAAAAAGTTTTTCATGGTATGTCTGTTAAATGTTTTACACCACTTTGGTTCGGTTTGTTTGGAATTTCGGGCAAAGCTACACGAGAGCTATCTGCGCTTGTCGTCCCTAATTTAGCAGTGGAAAACTAGAGGAAATGTAGCTAGTCATCACCACCCACCGCCAACTCTTGGGCTACTAATTTACCAACGAATAGTGGGATTGCCCATAACTTTATAACGTTACCACGGCTAAAAGGGCTAGCATGTTTGGTGGGTTGGGGGTATTTTACATCAGAGATATACAAAAAAGGCTTCAGTATTGTACCCAAAGTACTTACTTTATTAAAGCTTTTAACAATTACTCAGTGTTGTCAAAGTTCATAACAATTTCTGAAAGTAATGTTCCAGTGTTACCAAGCCTTAAAAATTATCATATCAAATTTTGTAATTACCTTCGGTTATCATAGATGTTCCCATATGAACAGTGTTTTGAGTCTGTTTCAATAACTGTCCGATGTTGTCACCTTTCAAAAAATGCACGGTTTTGCCAACTTTTAAAAATACCTTTTATTAAAACTTTTAACAATTTCTCAGCTTTGTCAAAGTTTTTACCAATTAATTAGTGTCGCCGAAGATTTAGGTAGTTTTATCGAACTTTAAACATATAGTATTAACTAAAATGTAAAACTCTTAGTTTTAACAAATCTATTGTAATCACTGTCTTATTCTGCATACACATTTAAAGAAAATTCTACCCTAACTATGAAGAATTAGAATCCCTATATTAGAAGACAAAATTCCCGTACTTTAATGGAAAGAAATCAACATATGTTTTGTAACTTAAAAACTGTTAAATATACATTATTTTTCTTTACCGGAAATCACAGACAGTTTAGTATATACACGTTAATGACAAATGATTTCCAGACTCTACGAAAGTGTGTAAAAATGATCATATTTGATAGTATCCTACTTTTTTTTCAGGAATGTGGGATTTAAACACTATTCGCGTTTCGGTAAATGTGCTTTAGCCTTTTTAGGTTTGGAAAAACGTTATATGCAAGGTTACGTCTTGAAAGAAACTACTACACATAATGGCCCGGCATGACCAGGTGGCTAGGGTGCTCGACTCGCAATCTGAGGGTCGCGGGTTCAAATCCCCGTCCCACCGAACATGCTCGCCCTTTCAGCCGTGGGGGCGATATAATGTGACGGTCAATCCCACTATTCGTTGGTAAAAGGGTAGCCCAAGAGTTGGCGGTGGGTGGTGATGACTAGCTGCCTTCCCTCTAGTCTTACACTGCTAAATTAGGGACGGCTAGCGCAGATATCCCTCGTGTAGCTTTGCGTGAAATTCAAAATCAAACAAACAAACTACACATAATACAATATAATGAAATAACACTAAGAGAATGTGATATCGAACAGGAAGTGGAAGGAATAATGTTACCACATAGACATGCTTACACATGTCCTAGCTCGTGGGCTATTGTAAACGCTGCACTGAGGCCATTGTCTTCAACTATGGCACAACTGCTGTATCGAGAACACGCCATCCCAGGATTAGCTAAACCTACAATTAAAAGATATATGATTCATCTTCACATTTATGGATCCTAAAATAATAATAAACAACGCTAGAAATAATGAAGAACCTCTTTCATTATATTGTTTTTGCTTATGATACACCTGTAATTTGCAGTGGTAAATTATTCTGCATTTTAAAGTTTAGATAAGTGAGTTTAGTTTACAATAGTTATTTAAAATTTCAGGCAGGAAGTTCAATTTAGTCACTGTACTAGTCCAGTCGACTATAGTGATTAAATAATTTATTCGAAAAAATGTCTAGTATTTCAGACAAGTCTTAATTTACTGTATATTACTTAAAGGTTAAAACCGAACAATGATGTCCTTTCATGAGAATAAAAGTCATTTAAGTAAACAATCATAAAATGAGCTTGTATTGCAGTTACGTATTCCTTTCCCGTTCTCCTGCAGCTTCATTTTGTAGTTAATAAGAGTTTGTTTTACACAAGAGTGTTACTTCTCGCATTATTTGTATTTCTAGTTCTCCTGTCAAACTGTAATAATACATAATATCATTAGAAATACTAAAGTATTATAATAGTAATAAATAAAATAAATATCATAGAATTGTGATAATTAACTCTAATATATGTTAATTAATGATAATAATACAGCAGAATATGTAAATAAGTTTAGTCTCGAGTCAGATAGGTAGCTAAATTAGAAAAAGAAAAAAATAGATTAAATAGTTGGTTAGTCTAGAATTCTCGTATGGCTTACCTGCGGATTTAGGGAAATATAAACATTAAGGAACAATAAAGAAATCTGAACAAAACAGTTGAAATTTACGGTAGATTTTGTTTGTTGTTAATCACGAAACTATGGACTATCTTTGTTGTGCTTACGGCGGGTATATAACCCCAATATTTAGCATTATAAGCTCTCAGATTTATCGATTAGCTACAAGGGGTTATTGAGGGTACGAAATAAAATTCTACACTGCATGTATTTCAATATATTTCGTTCATAAGCAACACACCTTTAGCTTTATGTTCAAAAGTCCTCCGGTGGGTCAACAATAAGTTTACGGACTTACAATGCTAAAATACTTTTTGTAAAGGACAAAGCGCAGATAGCCTATTATGAGCTGTGCGCTAAAATACAGCGATAACAATTATATTCATAAATATTTAATCAAAATAAAATAAATCCTACCATTGTGATTATTACTTACTGATTAACTCCTTTGTTTTATTTTATTTCAAGACAGTATTTCGTCAGTTATCAGTTTCCCAACTAGGTTTGCTAAATTATTTTCGGGATCGTCTTCAGCAAAGTTAAATCATCTTCTTCTCTCTGTTCTCGTCATTATAAGAATTTACGATTGAAAGCAAAGACGAATGTAAAACAGTAAGTTTACTAAAATATATCTTCTATAACCAGTGCCCACAAAGCCTTTCTCCCTACACCATTGGGCTCTTCAGGCAGATTGGGATACAACAGACATAATTTTGGTTGAAGCGCTATATGAATAACCACCATTATGGTGTGTTTAATGGATGAAGTTTAATTTTAATCAATTTAATTTAAGTCATTTAAAAACCATAATTCAGGTAAGAATTAATAACACATTAACACTGATTTATTTTAAAATCAATTATTCATTATTATGATATATTTTTACTTTTTATCAACATTACTCATTATTCATAAGGATTGGTGAAACAGTAAGTTAGTCTTCTTGTTACAGTAGCAGGTAAAGCAACAACAGAATGAATGAGATGATACTACAATAGTCTGAATGTGAAAAAAAATGTATAACAATACTATAGTAGCTTATGTAATATGTTATACCGCACAGTTACGGACATTCACTTTGAGCCAAACGTTTTAAGCAAAATATATGCATATACATATGTATATTGTATCGAGATTAATTCAATGTAGTTTTCAATTAGTACATAAACAATGCTTTTTCAATTCGTAATATCCCTCCATTCAGCTACACAACACAATATTACAAAATAGAACTTTTGAGTGTACATCACCTGTTATGTGTTATAAAAATTCATTACACGAGGCTTAAGGGGTTCTTTTACACAATCACCTTTTCTGTAGTATTAATTTGAATTAATTTTAGTCCCTCTTTTGTGCAACAGTATGACATGCCCACTTTACGGTTGATTGAAGATAATAACTTTCCACTCAAAACAGATTATTTTACAGCCCACTTTTCCAGCTCCCAAGTACAGAGCTCGTTTTTGTGGTAAAGGACCACAAATGAAGAATCCCCGGATTCACAGTCGGAATATGCTAACCCTTCATGTTCTTATTAAAAACAGAACTATTATGTATATGAGTAACTTTTCTTCGTCTTTCTGGTATACAATTAGCGCAAATATATAAGGAATTTTGATAAATTAAAAATATAATTGGTAACCATTTTCCTAAGCCCATTTTCATAGTATGAATGGGATAATGTTTCTTTTTCGCCCAAGTATAATAATTAGTATATATCAAGAATTAAAACTGTTGCATCAACAGGTGTCACAGAAAATGTTATCTATAAAATGCGTTATTGATCCTCTACAGAAATGTCCTCTCTGGACATTATGTTTTGCCATTTATATAACTTCTGTGGTTTCTTTATCTCTTTTCCAGTGATTAAAAAGCAAATAAAAATGTATTTGTGTTTGTGTTTTTATAGCATCGAAGTCACATCAAAACCCTGATTTTAGCGTTATAAATCCGTAGAACAACAAACAAAAATGAAATACATCTAGTTTTCATTGTGCCTGAATGTTCTTTTACCTAATTAGTTTGTTTGTTAGAAGTTAAGAACAAAACTACACAATGGGCTGTCCGTGCTCTGCCACCACGGGTATCGAAACCCGGTTTCTAGCATTGTAAATCCGCAGACATACCACTGTGCTACTGGAGGCACTTAATTAGTATTGTTCAGATCTCAGTACAACTGTGGATAATTAACATAACTTTGTTTTACTAATTTTCTTTAAATTTCAAATATAAGTATCATCAGAATATAGATTAGGTGTAATTACTTATATTTCAAACATAGAATAGCTGTTTAGAATTCTCTTGCTTTTTGTCATGAAAGGTACTGAATAAATGGTGTAGAAAACTCTGCAAAATTAACTAATCTTTTTGTTGTTTGACTGAAATCTAACCTTAGTACAGTTCACAAACTACCCACGAGTGAAGTAAAATGTCTGTCAAGGAAAAGTACAAGAAAAACATTGCGACATATCATTTTCACTCCTACTAAGACAGAACTGATATTAGAGACAAACTTTACACTAGTTTTCAACAAGCCAACCTTTAAATATTTTGCACTCATTAACGCCATCTGTACTTGGAATGATTAATGATGCTGATCCAAGCACGTTTTTGTGGAGGAAATGCATATCATAATTAGAATACTTTAGTACTACTATACAAGGTCAACTTTTGAAAAGATGAGACTCAGATGAAACTGAAAAAAGAAATAATAATAAATGTCACTCTTTATATCGGACATTTATAGGTCTAATATGTTAGAGGTGAGAACTGATAAAGTTCTGTATAAACGTGAAGTCCGATAATTTATCAAAATTGGCTGTTATATTTATGCTTCATGTAATTATTTAAGATGTTTGTAACTAAAAATATTTAAGCTTTCATCAGGCATAGGTAGCTTGAACATAAAATATTTTTTAGGTAACTTCCAAAGGTTCGACTTATTTCATTTTTTATTCAAAATATTAAAATTGGGAAGAAGTGTAACACTGTAGATTATTAGTAGACTTAAACAGATCTCAATCTAAGAGTGACACCAAATGTTAGGACAACCACACACAAAAAAAAAATAATGAGGAGAAAATATTGCCAAATAATTAGGGAAAATGGTCAGAGCTTATTGTTGTGTTCTAATCCTCACATTGTCTTAACTACAAGAAACACAATATGACACTGTTCTAAACATAATCAATGAACTTACTGTTTTCAAGTGTAAACGACGAACGTTTTATGTCATAGCTCAAGTCTCTTACAAATTATTTACTGCATTATTAGTATTTGAACCAATGTTTTTACGTATAATTCAGTAAACTGGACCTCTGTCAATGTAAAGCTAGCAATGATCAAAAGTTGATAATATATATATATGTAGAGACGGCTGATATGGGTATAGAAAAGTTTTATTTAAAAAGCACAAAGCAAATAATAACGTTTCGACCTTTTTAGTTCATCATCAAGTTCCCAACACAGAAGCCTCTAACATAGCATTAGAATTTTACATCAAATACCCCAACCCACTCATAAACATCTCCAGCAACCACCTCTAAAACTAATTTTATGTTCAACGACCAAAACTACATACAAATAAATGACTTAAGTATGGACAATAGGTGACAACCTATTCTAACCAACATTTTTATGACACAGATTGAATTTCAAACCATCAGGTCAGCCTTACACCCACCACTAAACTGGTACAGATATGTAGACGATACATTTGCCAGATTCAGATCTATAGAACACGCACGTAGCTTTTTCAAACACATTATCTCCATACAATACACCCAGATATTAGGTTCACCAGTAAATACCAAAAAGATCAACAACTAGCATTTCTAAATCTCAATATCTCAAGAACAAATACACAGTTTAAAACAGAAATCCACAGAAAAATCACTCATACTGGATTGTATATTAACTGGAACTCGGCACATCAAACAAAACAAAAACTCAACATATTAGAAAACCTAATAAACACAGCCACAAGACTCTGCTCACCTGACAACCTTAAAGAAGAAGCCAATCAATTAAAACAGATCTTTATCAATGTGAATGAATATCCTAAAAAACCGTTGAAAGAATTATTCAAAGAAGCAACAAAAAAACAACATAATCCGAAAGACAATGAAACAACTAACAACAAAACACTAAACTGCTGTATACCGTATATTCCAGATATCAGCGACAAAATAACTAACATTTGGAAAAAACTCATAACCAAACATAACATTCCAATAAACACTAAATTCA